CACTCGTGTACACGAGGGAGCACGTGCACACTGCACTTGCCTCTGTGTGTCAGTGTGCGTTCCATGGAGCAGCGTGTAAGTCTGTGTCCATGTGGACGTGCACATGGTCTGCACACATGTGCCCATGTACAGGCCTGCCACCCGAGTTGTGCAACATGGAGGCCCTACCAGTGGGTTCAATAGTAGATGGGTCCGTGTGGCACAACTGAGTGTATACACCACTACATTCTCATGACTGTGGAATTGTCTATGTGTGCAAGGGGTGTGGGAGTGGTGCAGGTGGGTGTGTGCACATGGGATTGGGCAAGGGCCCTTGGATGTGTTGCAGGGGGCCAAGGGCAAGTGGACCCAGGGGAGGCTGTCCTTTGGGCACCACCAGGGGCACTATAAATTACCTGGCCCCAAGCTAAGGACAAGCTGGGAGAGAGCCTGGGCAGGTCTTGCCCCCTTTGGCAGATGATAAAACTGGACTTGGTAATGCTTGTCGAGTCACCCAGTGAGTGGGAAGTGGGTGAGGGAAGACTGGCCCCCAGCCTTCCAATTCCCCTAGATGTGGCTGAACAGGAAGTCTGGGCTCTAGCGAGGAAGCCAAGGGTGCCCTTCCCTTCCTGCTTGAGCCCAGGCAGCACTGTCTTCCCTCAGCTACAGGTACAGATGAGGCAACTGAAGCTCAGAAAGGAGAAGGGGTGGCCCAGAGACACCCAGCACAAGATCAGATCCCTTGTTCAGGGCCCTGCCCTGCCTGCCCCTTCCCTCTCAGGTGCTGAGAACGAGTGCTCCTGGACAACCCTGCTCTCTCCACATGTGGCCCTGGACACTCTCCAGCCCTTGACCCTTCCTTCCAAGCCCGAGACCCCTTGCCTGCCCATCCCTATGTGCCAGGGGTCCCACAGACCCGCCAAGACCCTGCTCATCCACAAAGGAACCCCTCCGACCTGCATGCACCTCCTCCACTGGGAAACTCTTCAGCCTGCAGGATGGGGGGTGCCTCCCACTGCCTCAGACTTGAGTCGGGGTTGGTGGGCCACCCTTTCTGCTCTTCCACTGCCTGCCTCTGGACGGGGCCCTTTGCCTCAGTGTCCTCAGCCGTGAAAGAGGCAGAGGCCCACCCAGAGACGCCGGTCATCCCCTGGAACCCGCGTGCCACGGGAAGTGATGGGGGACTGGCCTAGTGGCCAGAGGGGGACCTGACGGCAGACATCGGGCTCCTTTGTTACCGGTGTGAACCATGGTCCCTCCCCCTCCCGTAGGTCCGCCGGGACTAGGCTTCCGACACCCTTTCCAAGGTCCCAGGCCCTGGCGCTGACAACCGCTGGCTTCCTGCTCTACCGGACCACGTTGAGACCCAGGAGCGGGGGTTGCGGGGGGGCGGACTTCCCCAAGGTCACACACACAGGAGTGGCAGCCGGCAGTTGACGCTCGGCACAAGGGGCCGCAGGGCAGCCTCGGTTTACCCCACTCTCGGCTATAAGCTGCATGAGAGCACCCAGCGCTCCGCTTGTGCCGGCCTCTGCGACTCGATGCGGGTCGAGGAGGTCATGGGGCTGCACCTCAGGCCCGCAGAGCGTCAGAATCGGTGGGCGATGGGTCTGGGAAGGCCCCGCCGGGACGAGGAAACCGAGGCCGCTTCCCGGACACTGCCCGGCTCCCCTTGGAGCCCCTGCCTGGGAAGAGAGGCGAGCTTGGGCGTGCGAGTGCGTGTGTTGGTGGGGGCGGAGGGGTCAAGCCTTCCTCTTCCCCTCCTTCTCCGCCCGCCACCCGTGCTGGGTCCCAGGAGCCTTCGGACCCCAGAGGACGCCAACAGGAGAGCTCAAGAGGGCCCTCCAGCGCGAGAGCAGACGGACGCCGCGTCCAGCCTCTTCCCAGGCGGGCCCCTAGCCCCACCAGCCCCCGGCAACACGGCCGGGAGGGGCGGATCGGAAGGGCGTCTCGGTGCGGGGGGGGGGGGGGGCGGATCGGAAGGGCGGAGCGCAGCGGGGCGGGGCGGGGGCGGATCGGAAGGGCGGAGCGCAGCGGGGCGGGGCGGGCCCCGAGACTGGCGCGGCGGGGGACGGAGGGGAGGCAAGGGGGGCGGGGTGGAGCGCGGAGAGGTTGGGGGGGCGGAGCGGGCAGGAGGAGAGGACGGGGCGGGGCCCGGGCAGAGCGCGGAGTGGCGGGGCGAGAGGGCGCACCCCGAGACCGGCGGGGTGGCGTGCGGGCGGCAGGAAGGGTGCGGCGGCCGCACCGCACAGGTAAGGACGGGGTGGAGGTCGCGCGTCTGTGGGCGCGCTCCTCTGCTCCACACTCTCCTGGCTTCAGGTGGGACTTTCGCCTCCGCGCCCCTGCGGGCCGCCGCGTCGCCGTCGCTCCACGACTCCTCGGTCCCCGGTAGCACTCACCTCTGGTGAGTGGTGGCCGTCCGAGTTTCTCCCAAGGCCCCTTCCGTCCTAGAGGGGTTCGGCTTCGTCCTCCCTGCCCCGTGGTCACCCGGCTCGGGTTTAGGGGCAGCGCAGGGACATCCCCTGCCCGGGGCCGTGCACCGCCCGAGCGCAGTGCCCAGGGGCTTAGCTGGGCAAGAGGTTGGAGGGCCCGGGGAACTCATCCAGTCTGAGACTACCAGGAGGAGGTGACGCCAGCTGGTGTTGTCTGGAGTGAGAAGGGCATGAGCAAATGCCTGGTGGCTGGGACAGGATCCCGTGTTTGGGAAACTCCAGTTTCCCAAAGTGACTTCGTGTGCTTGGGCAGGGACAGGAAGAGAGGCTGTGGAATATGTGACCAGAGAGAGACTGGGAGTGAGGGCATCTAGGACAAGAACGTTGGAGTCACAGAGGGGCAGAGGAGGGTGTTGGGGAGAGGCCAAGGTGCAGACTCTGAGAGGTCAGCTGTGACAGTCCAGCGCCTCTTCCCCTGGGCAGCCCCTCTCTCCTCTATTTACCGCTGGGATTGCTGGTTGATCCAGGGGGCTCCCGGTCAGCCCAGGAAAAAGCCTCCACAGCAAGCAGAACTTCCTTGCCTGTCCAGACCAGGAAATACCAGAGTGGGTGCCATAACAGGGTGTGGCTGAGGGGCCTGAGGGACCAGGCCTTGGGGAGGGCAGGGGAGGCCTCAGTGACCCTGCCCAAGAGGGACCCAGCATGAACAGAGGCCAGGAATGCAGGGGAGAGAGCAGGTCTGGCTGCTGGTTAGATCACCCCAGGGACAGGCAGCTGACTCACCTGGGCACGCCAAGACTAGCCAGTTCTGTCCTCAGCCTGCCCCATGGTGAGCATCTAGGCGGCCTGGGGAGGTAGGAGGCTGGGCCCTGCCCGGAACTTGCTGCATGACCCCAGGTGAGTTGCCCAGCCTTTCTGAACTACCTAGCTCCTGTGAGCCTGGTGGAACTGGGAGCCAGAGACTTGGGTCTGAGTCCTGTACATACTCTGCAGATACTGTCTCTGGGACCTCCTGTTCCTTCCTGGGCCTCAGTTTCCTCATATGTACACATGGAACCTTAGAACTGGATGGGAGGAGAGACTAAGGAGGCCATGGCCTTGGTCAGAGAGGGGTGGGTTGGGGGTGGGACTGGGGTTTGAGAGGGAAGTACTCCTGCTGGGTCTTGCTCATTTAAGGTTCCACACCTCCTCCTCCTCCTCCTCCCCTGCAAACACACACACTCATGCACACTCATGCCCTGGCCTCATCCCTGCCCTCACACTCTCCTCATCGCCTCCAGGGTGAAGCCCTAAACTCCCTAGCCTGGGAGCAGGGCCCCTCGGGCGCCAGACCAGACCCACAGCCTCAACTGCAGCCTCCCCTGCCCCCGCACCACCTCATCAGCCATGCTTAACTTCTGGCCTTTCCTTCTGGCAGCGGGACTTGATTTCCTAGAGTCAGAGATCCCTTTGGGACCGCACACCTGGAAGGGCTCCAGAGTAGTGTCTGCAAACTGGGGTAACTGGGGGTCTCTAAGACTCATCCCAAGGGGCCCCAGGCTGCGTTGAGAGGTACGGGAGGCTGAGGACCAGGTCCCCAAACCCAGAGCAGCTCCCCTCCTTCAGTTTATCCTTTTTAGGGAGGACTAAAATAGTTTGAAAAGCTCTGATCTAGTTGGACCCCTATTTCATGGAGGAGGTGACTGAGGCCCAGAGAGGAGCAGGGCTCTGGAGAAGCTGGGGCATGGCCAGGGCTGAACAGCTGGGTAGGGGTCAGAGGGGGGTCCTGTGGGAGCAGCTGGGGTGTGGGCCATGGGTCCAGGGGAGGGGAGCAGCTGCCAGCCCCATGGTGGGGAGGGGGAGGAAGCCTGAGGTGGAGAGGGGCCCAGAGCTCCCTGTCCTGGGTGTGGCATTGGTTGGGGTGGGGCTGCCTGGTCCCCAGCTGAGTGTAGGGGCTGCTGGTGCTCAGGGCCTCCCAGCAGCGAATTATTTGCTACAGGTACTGGCTCACCCTGATCTGGTTCCCAGTCTGCACCTCCCATCCTGGCCGCACCCTCCCCGCTCCGCCTTTAGCCTGTGTCCTCACATCTCAGCTCAGACCCTGCCTGACTGCCAGCTGAGGTAGAAAGGTCAAAGGTCATCCCCCAAAGGGCCTTTCCATTCCTTCAGTTTCTGGAGATATGGGGGAAGGTCAGGTGGGTCCAGACCACACTTGCTGCAACCCTGACCCCTTGGCTGGGCTCTCCTGGTCTGCTTGAGCTG